ATGCCCTTCTCACGGCTTATGAGAGCAAATCCTTTCAGATGAATGATGTCAGTTCCATTATTTTCTATTCTTGCCTGCTATATATGAGCTCTACTTTCTCTCCACTCACAAACTCCTTCCCCTTCATGGGCAAGAGTTACACGACTGTGTCAGCCCTAGAACACTAATTGCTGACTTTTCCACACAGTGTTAAAGATAGGGACCATGTGTCTTTGTTCCAGTATGACACACTGTTGGTTCCATAGATACACTGAGTAAATGCAGGAAGAGAGCTTAGGATATCTGTATCTCAGATAGAGCTCTATGCAATATAAGTTTGTTTTTTTTTTGCGGTATGCGGGCCTCTCACTGTTGTGGCCTCTCCCGTTGTGGAGCACAGGCTCCGGACGCGCAGGCTCAGTGGCCATGGCTCACGGGCCCAGCCGCTCCACGGCATGTGGGTGGGATCTTCCCGGACCGGGGCACGAACCCATGTTCCCTGCATCGGCAGGTGGACTCTCAAGCACTGCGCCACCAGGGAAGCCCGCAATAGAAGTTTTATGTGTGTAAGATGTAACTTAATTTTTTAGCCTGATTTTTAGTTACTTTTTATTTTGGGAAAAAAATATTTTACTGATGTATCTTGGTGTAGGAAATGGTTTTAATTGCAATAAAAAGCACAAACTTAAATTTATTACAGGATAAAACTAGCCAATGCACTTTAAATTTCAAGTATTAGGGAGTTCTAACCATTAGAACACAGTGATTTGAAAAGTAATTTTTTTCTTGGACAGACTGTCAACTTTGAAATCTTTGAATTGAATCCTGTGGTTTTAAATGAGTTTCATTTAACAAGCTGAATGGGGAAGGGTCCTAGCGAGCAAATTAGGGGACCCCGGGTCTTAGGAAGGTTTCACAACTTCCTTTAAATTCTTTCTACCAACTCTACATTCCGCCCCCCCCCCCAAAAAAAAAACCTTCTACAAATCTGTTTTTACTTTAGTTCTTACAATAATCCCTTTTCTTCCCTGTAATTTGGTGTTTCCTAGAAGATTAGAAGTGCTGGTTGAGAGGAAACATCATGCCTGACCAATATCTAACCCTGTGTTTTTCTATTAATGTGATTGGAATTTGTCCTAGTCAGATTACAGAAAGTCTAAGTAAGTTTTCACTTACAGTTATATCTTATTTTATTCAACAGACACATCCCCAAATTTTAGTCATGCACACCTTATTTTACATGCATTACAGGATTTTGCTATTTTAAAGGTGTGGAATAGAGAGAATCCATCTGTGCGTGACAGACTCATCACCTTATTTTTGTAAATCAGCATTTATGTCTAGCTTAAAAAAAAAACAGAATTTCCTTTTGATCCCCATATTGCTCAGAGGCAGTAAGTTAGAGTGGATATATTATCTTTACATAGTTGGTGATGGAACCAGAACCATTTGCATTAATTCTAAAATATTGTCACAAAAGGGAAAAAAAAAAGTCACTGATTTCCGTAGTCATTTATACTATAAATTATGCCTTGCTTCATGATTCTCCTTCCATCAGGTTAAAGGGTTCCTAGGACCTCTGGACCACTTTGGTCACTCACTGCCTCTGGCCCCCACGTCTGCCAGCCAGATTTGAAGCTGGCTGGTATCTGTGTGAGACAGAGTCAAACACTGCACCATCTTCTAAGGTTGATTATAATTAGAACTACAGTTGTACGTATAATTCTGGGGCTGGATGAAGGTCCGCTGGAGTAAGAATCAGTACCTGTGTTGCAGTCTGCTCCACCTTATTTGTGGAACACACTGACAGGGCCAAGCCTTAGTTTCTTCATCTGTAAAATAACTAAACATTAATCTCTGAGATCACTTCCAATTCTAAATTATACTTTATCTTTTACACTTGATCGCCACCCATTTTCTCACTTCTAAGAGCGAATTTAATCATATTTTGCCATCTCTCCAATTGGTTTACATAGTTCATCTGTATATTCCATGTAGTCTTTTCTCCTTGTTTTGAAATATTATCAAGTTGATGGTACAGCTTACATTCATTTGGGTTTTAGAATTTGGAGACTAGGGTCCCAAAAGCCTAATTCTTAAGGTCTGTATGGTTCCCACATCTCTGCGGCTCCTACCTATCAGTTGCATTTCTGCAAGATGTCTTATTTTCTGTATTATAAGAGTACACAAAAGTTAAGTGGAGCTAGGAAGCATTCCCCAGTGATAAGCCTGTTTGTTTGTGGGTGTTGCACATGTGACTCAAATATTGAAGTAAAGCCCAGACTTAGGCCTGAATGCTAGGGTTCTAGACTCAGCCTTTACCACCTAAAGCAGTTGGACTTCAGGAAGGCAACTTCATTCTGAGCTTTAGCCATCTCGTTTGTAGTGGTAATACCTGCCTCGCCTACCTCATAGGGTCGCCAAGCTGAACCCTCAGTCATGTGTGTTAGGGTGCAACAAACACCTAACTTGCACATCTTTATAGGAGCACCGGGTCAGTACATCTCTCATGACACTAGGATTGCCTCTCAGCTTTAAGGCAAAAGATCCCTTCAGTGAAGGGTCATTCTGCTTCCTATTCTGCACTCTTCTGCTCTGTTCATCAGATACTTGGTTTTCACATGCTTCTGTGTGGTTTTGCAAGGTCCCCCGCTCCTTAGTAGCCCCATGCAGATTTTCCTGAAAGCTGAAACTCTCGTGCGCCCTCTAGTGTTCCCTGCACACAACCAATATT